TCCATTACATCGGTTTCATCCACTCACATCTACCAGAGCATGATGACGTCAACTTATTCATATCCGCCTCTCTCTCCATCCTCCTTATGGCCTACAATAACCATCTCCCCCCCCCCCATGCCTCCCCTCCCACAGAAAGTGGAGGCCAGATCCCAGAAAAACGAGAAAAAGAACGACACTAGCCCGATACAGTAACAACAACACCCCAACCCCTTTAGCACCCAAACTGACAGACAGATGGATGGATGGATAGATTCCACGTCCTCCCCCTAGCACTGGCAGCAGGCTATTCGGACCCGAATATGAGCCTACCCTTACGCTTGCGCTTAACGCCCAAGTCTGGGCCTGGCCAGAACCTGAACGCTGGACGGGCTAGTACCAGTCCCTGAGATGAGTGCCTATCGGATGTCTTTAAATTTGCGCACTGTGAGCTACAGCGGAAAGAGAAGTGCGCGGAGTACTATAGTGTTGTATAGTGTGGTGTACTGTAGTGCAGTGTACAGGGAGCCTAGAGAAAGTCGAATCCGACGCTGACCATTGGTCGAATATTGCCAGACTCAGTCTGCAGGAGAACCCGCATGCTGGATACTGGCCGAGTACCGAGTAACTGGAACGGGAACGTGAACGTGAACAGGAACGTTAACGTCAACATCAACATTCCGCAACATCTCGGAAACCAAGTTCAACAACGTCTTTTTCCTCCCTTTCTGCCTCCTGTGAACTGGACAAAGGATAGACGGATGAACGGATAGACACAGGCCTGGACTGATGAGCTGCTTGTGCTCTGGACATAGATCTAGACTATAGATCCGTTCCGTACCTGGGGGAGGTAATCCTAATTATAGCTGCCTACCCTAGGCGTTTCCTCCCTTCTGGCGCACTTGTGCTGTCCCTCTGGAGCTTCTTACCCGTTCCCAGCTCATGAGCACACGCACGCCGGAAGTCGTATCCCCGAGCCGAGCCCCAACGATCACCCGGGCCCACTAGGAGTCTCTTTCCCACCGCTCGTCCTTCTCCTTCTATATTGTATACTTCGTCTGATGCCTCGTAAAGGTATACCAAACCCAAGGAGTACGATCGGAGCACCGCCTACCAGTACTTCCCTTCCCTTTTCTCTTCAGCCCGAGATTGCCGGGTGCGGACGGACGATTTCAATTTCGATTTCCCCTTCCAGATCTGGCCAGGCACGCGACTCGAGTGCATCGTGCGCTCGACTGCCAGCAAGCCTCCTACGCCTTAGGGGGAAGTATCCCCAGAGCTCTATGTCCTTGGGAGCTTGGAAGACTGCGGGGCAGCTGCAGATGATACTTGATCGTTTGTTGATCACCCCCTGCCCCCTACTACCCTGCCTGCCTGCTGGTTCCCTGCTGGTTCCCTGTCAGTTGGACAATTCAGTGTTGTCTCTTGACCTGGATTGACTTTGACTTGATCTTGCTTGCTTGTTTCAGATACTACTAGTACTGGTACTTCTTGTTCTCTTCTGCCCGTGCTGCGTCTCCGCCTTCGTCTCCGTCTCCGTCTAACCGGCCGTCTAACGTACGTCTATTCACAAAAGTATAACAACCCACTCACACACACACTGACACGCTCCTCCCCACATCCCAGGCATGCACGCACGAACGAACGATGCACCGCGCGCTCTTCGTCCACGACGTCCTAGACCAGCTCTTCGCCCCGCTAACCCAAAGCCCTCAGGCCCTAGCCGCCCTCGCCTGCACCTGCAAGCACTTCGCCCTCCCCGCACTCAGGCTCCTATGGCGCGACGCCCTCGGCGTACAGCAGTACGCGGAGCTCATGCCCCCTTGGGCGAGGGAGCACCTCAAGCTGGTGGGTCGGGCTGAGGCAGTCAGCTTCTGGCATTTGGCTAACAAGTACTCCTCTGCTCTTACCCTTCCCCTCCCTCGTACCTTTGCTTGCTCTTCTCTACCTTTTGCTACTCCTGTTGCTCAGCGTACGCTTTCCCTCCCTCCGCCAGAAACGGAGGGAGGCTGGGAACGCTTCCTCTTCTACTCTAGGATGGTAAGGACGCTCAACGCCGACCCGCAAACAAAACGGTACACCTACAGGCTCCCGAACACCCATATCCTCCGTATCCTCGCTCTCTGTGGCGAACCCCCTTTCCCCCTCCTGGAGAAATTCAACATGTACATCGAGGATGATCGCGGGCTCTTGTCTCTCCCTGCGTTCCTCTCTCCACGGCTGGCGACGCTCGACCTGCACACAGGGCATCAAGTGACTCTAGGAGGGTTTACCTCTTTCCTCAAAACACTGCCCTCCCTTGCCCCAGCGCTGAAAGCAGTCAAAGCCACCGCAGCACTGTCGAGCGAACCCGAGTTCCAGCTCGCCCTGCTCAGCACGGTCAGTGCCCTCCCCCAGCTAGAATCGCTAGCAACCGAAGGACTCCCTATCCCGCAATTCTTCGCCCTCCTCCCTCCCTCACTCAAGCACGTGTCCATCGACCTAAGCTGGCTCTACCTCCCCGATACGACGGACCAGCCCCCGCTGCCGAGCTGCACCCTCCCCCAGCTGGAAACCCTGTCATTCTCCTCCCCATCCGCACATTACGCCCAGCGCCTCCTCAGCTCACTCACCCTCCCATCCCTCCTCTCCCTCCATCTCGAACTCCAACAAACCCAGTCCCCCCTTCCAGAACTCTCAGCGCTCCTCTCCCTCCTAGCGCATTACCCCACACTCCAAACCCTACACCTCCTCCTCTCCCCACTAAACCTCTCCCTTCACCCGCCGAGCCTCTTTCTCCCCCTAGCCCTCCTCCCCCATATCAGGGAATTCACACTCTCCCTCCCCTCTCGCTCCGCAGCCACAGGAGCGCCGTATGACGGGTTATCCCTCTCTGACGCTGAAGTGTGTGTGTTGGCCAGAGGGTGGAGGGAGCTGAGGACGCTGAGGATCTCCCCTGATCACCCTGGGGGCCGGAAGCCGGGGGTGACGCTCAAGGGCTTGGGGGAGGTACGTAGGGAGTGTAGAGGACTTGAGTGGTGCGAGGTAGATCTGGACCTCTCCGTCCCTTTATCTACCTCCATCTCCCACTCCCTTCCCTCGGGTAGCACCCGCCCGGCAGGCTCGACAAGACGCCTCAAATTGGGAAGCGGGACATCACTCCCCCCTCTGGAAAAGTGGGTCAAGGCAGCAACGGCGCTCGCGTGTGTGTGGGAGGGGGTGGTAGAAGCGGAGGCAGGAGGCAGGAGAGGGGTCGACTTGTGGGGGTTTTGTAGAGTTGTGAATGGGGAGTGAGGTGAAGGGTGGGGAGTTGGCGTTTTGGGCCGAACGGGGAACATCCTGAGGGGAGGGGTGTCTGTGCTTGGTGCTGGGTGTTTGGCGCTTGGCGCTTGATTCTGGGCAGGATTGGTTAACCCTACCTGTACTTGTACTTGTAGTCATCTTCGTACTTGCGGTATCTGGCCTCCTTTCGGTAAGCTTCCCCTCACCCGGGAAGACAACCGTCGCCCGCTCGGCGACAGTCCCGTATCCTCTGTTCAGATCTGTACAATAGTTTGATACCCGAACTCGTACCGATATCTATCTATCCTATCTGAAGTCGTGGCTGAAATTTGTCATCCCCTGATATGGGGAAGAATTGACGCTGATCGGGCACGGGAATGTTCGGATCGACCGTCGATTTTGCGTTTTCTCTCACCGGAACCGTCAGAACTGGGACCGATGGACCGATCAGGCGCTAAGTGATGTACAACATTCTTCTATCTCACAAGCCATCGACGGCATCTGTATCGTACAGCTCTGAGTGTCCATATCTGGACTTACAACACCTCCAGCACCATCTCGTACACATCTCCTTCCCCGGGATCGGCTCTCAACAATCCCCTAAAGTCTACCGTGACGATTTCCCCTATTCGCTCGTCCACTCGCCGCTGGATCAGCGTCTCCTCGACCGGTGTCTGACCGACAACGACTTTGATCTTCCCCGCTCCTTCTTCCCCCGCTCCTGCACCCGCTAGCCGTTTGACAACAAACGACGCACACCCGACGCACTTGAACGTCGCTCCGAACAGCACGGGTGAGTTGTCCAGGAACACAGCTGGGCCCGTTAGTGCCGAAAGAGGGTTGTACTTGTCTGTCAGGCCGAGGCAGGCGATGGTACATCGTTCGGAAGTGACGAAGGACGCGATGGTGAAGATGTCGAAGCCGAATGGCTCGAGCTGGATTGGTGCCTCGCAGGGTATGATGCTTGAGACGGCTTTGTCCGCAAGGTAGACTTTGCTCGTCTTGAAGGAATGCACCGCGTATGTCGTGCGTTCGGGAGAAGGAGACGTCAAGAGCAGGATGTCTGCAAACGTTAGTTTGTCCTCGGCGGTCCCCTCTTTGCTCCGGACGTTCCAGACGCCCAACACCCCTCCTCCATATTCACCTTCGCTGTAGACTTTCAGTCCCATCCCCGTCTTCTCACTTAGCAAGTCTTCGAATACACTCGGGCCGACAAAGAACGCCTTCTTAGCCTGAAGAGCGACGCTCCTTCCAGACTTGGACGACTTGCCCAGCAGCTTGTCGAGCACAGTCGGGTCGGTGTGCCCAGCCACGTCCGTCAGCGTTACAGGACCATTTGCGAGCGCGCGAAGGGCGGCGTGGTATTCGGCTTGGGCGGACGTTCCCTCCGTGGAGAACTTTTGCACGTCCTCGCCTTCGGGGATATAAGCATGGGATTGGAACATGTCCTGCAAACGCCTTAGAATCGCACGGCCTGGGCCAGGAGTGCGGATCTCACCAGATCGGGGACAACGTTCATCTGCGAGGTGAATATCCCATTCAGCACGTTCGCGTAAATGTGGTATCGATGCGAATCCATGATATCAGGAAAATCTACAGCTCGTCAAGTGAGATCCTTTCGAGACCAATAGTGACCCACAATCATCAGAGTTGCGGCATACCATCCGCGCGCCTGTCGAGCCTCCGACTTCCTTCCCCAGATATCTGACAGCAGTTAGCACGGGACGGGCGGTCCGATGACGAACGCACATTCGAGGAGACATCTCCATACACCAGATTACCCTGCCCTCCTCGCTCCCACCAAAATACTTCTCTGCAGCGTCCTTCACAGCTTGTCTTGCGTTCCGTCTGAGTGCTGCATGGCCCACTCAGTGAGAAAATACTCCAAGATTCGCTGATAGACTCACTAGGCATGTCAACAGCTGCGCCCAGCACCCCCTCGCCCTTCTCCCACCTGACCTCCCTCGCACTTACAAGCGCATCCAAGCTCGCCACATTGTCGCACTTCGTAAAGCTCACTCCGCAGGCTGACAAGAACCGATAATAGTCCGCAAAGAACTGGTGCACGCTATCCGGATGGGGGATGTAGTACTGGAACCCTGCACCTTCCCACGGTCCGGGGTAATCACCAAGAGTGACCTTGACGAGTTTGTACTTCTCCCGGAACGCAACAGGCTCCACGCCCTGCCAGTACCCGGAGATGGTGTGCCAGACCCCGACCCGTTCTACGCCGTAATCTTCCTTGACTCTGGTGACGAACTCTTTGAGTCCGCCTTTTATGCCATCCATGAACTTGTCCCAGGCTTCGAACGACGTCAGGCTGCGCAGGCGAGTGTAAGGTCCTCCGGACTCGTCGTTGATCGACTGCCAGGCATCGTCGATTAGCAAGGTGGCAGGGTGGATTCTGAAAGACTTTAGCGAGGTGAGTGTCTTCAACACAGATGCTGCAGTGCGTGGAACGGGGAAGAGCGAGTTCCACGCTGTTGAATTGTTAGCAAGAGTGCGTGTTGGGCCTGGAGAAACGTACTGCAGTATGTGAGGGTGTCGGAGAAGATCGTCCCTTGTCCTCCGTTGCCCATCATCCTCTCTACACCCTCGACCACCGCGTCAAGCAAGCTGTTTCCCCATCCTCTGACTTCTCTCATCCCGTCAGCGGCTCCTCGCACGACTCCCATAAGGTCGTTCCCCATGCATACGACGATCTTCCCCTGTCCTCCCGTGCCAGAATCACGTTCAAAACGAGCGACAATGCGACCGTCTTTCCCACGAAGGGTCCCCATATACGCAGGAACAGTTATGGTTAGAAGAGCGGCGTATTTGTACTTGGACGATGCGAGTTTGAGCAGGATAAACTGCGTGTCGGTATTGGCTGGCAAGTCAAGGTTCGGAGTAGGGAAGAGCCACCACGCTCTATGCTTTCGTAAACCGACATCGCCCTCGATTATCGAAGGAGACTCACTTGTCTCGTGTCAACCTAATAGAATGTTCTGCTTTATCCCCTACGTTGCCAAGCAGAAACTCGTCGATCTCGCCTGACTTGCTGCTCTTGAGGTCGAACAGGAGTGCATAGCACGTCGTGCCATCCCCTTCCAATGAGATCCCTTCGATCTTCACCTTACTCTGGTCGAAGTCGGTGAATATCTCGTGCACAAGGGAGTCGGCCATGGTGGGAAGTCAACTTGAGCATATACCCAGCTGGGCGGTGTATCCTTCCAGCCAGCATGAACTCCGTCCGGTGGGAGAAGGCAGGGATGCATGCCGTCATATCACGTGACACAGATATTTCTCCACATTTCCCCGCATTGATGACACGTTATTATTATCACCTCCATTATCCTCCACAATGAAGTCCCTTTCACTTCATTCTTTTAGATTATCTTCTTCTATCTTATGCTATCTATTACAGTCAGACGATACCCATCACGCTACGGTCCTTTTTAGCCGCCATCAGACTTGACGCACTCCAAACCGCAACCCGGGATATCCAGCTCATCTTTCTCCAACGCGCCGTCTGACTCTTTGCCTATGGCTCTAGCACGCTCATCCTCACTCTCATGTTCAGCACCCTGGGGTTCAGCGATTCCCAAATCGGGATATTCATGACTCTGACACTGTTGGGCGATGTGTTTATCTCCTTGCTGTTGACTCTGGTCGCCGATAAGATAGGGAGGAGACGCATCCTCGTCGCTGGAGCGCTGCTTATGCTAATCAGCGGTGTCGTCTTCGCAATTTCCAGCAGCTTCTCGATACTTCTTCTTGCTGCCATTGTCGGCGTCATCAGTCCCAGGTAAGCCCTCGTGTTGCTCCATGTCCCGTCTGACCTGTCCTAGCGGGAACGAGATCGGTCCCTTCCGCTCTGTTGAAGAAAGCATCCAGGCCCAGATAACGCCTCCCCACCTCCGAGCAGAGATATTCGCCATCAGCGGTATAGTCGACGCCCTCTCCACCGCCTTGGGCCAAATCTCGATCGGCTTCTTCACGCGGTATATGAAGGGCAAGGGCTGGTCAGAATTGGCGGGGTATCGCGCGACCTTTTGGCTGTATGCTGCGTGTGCGGCGGTCAAGTTGGGGCTTACGCTGTTGATGAGCGAGGAATGTGAGGTCGAGCCGGTTCGGGAATATATGCCGGTTAGCACGGATGAAGATATACCGTTGAGTGCGAAGAGCTCTCCTCAGACCGAACCACCGACACCTATTGCTCTGGAGGACAACCCAAGAGGAGTGTGGTCGACGATCGTTTCCTCATTCCCCACATTCTCCGAGGAGTCAAAGCCGATCGTCCTCAAGCTAGCCTTGCTCCTTGGGCTAGGCAGCGGAGCCTCAGGACTAGTTCCTATGTAAGCCAGCCCGATATATTCCTTTATCCCGCTAAGACGCTCAGGTCCATCATCGTCTACTTCTTCTCTCAAACATTCCATCTCCCCACCAATATCCTCGGTCTCATATTCTTCACCACCTCCCTAGTCTCCGACATCGCCCAGCTGCTCTCTGCCACAGTAGCCAAACGCCTCGGTCTAATCAAAACGATGTTTGTCACGCACCTTCCCTCCTCTCTCCTGCTCGCCCTCATCCCCATCCCGAACGTCTACCTTGCGTCTACAGTGCTGGTCATCCGTTTCTGCACAGGGACGATGGACGTCGCCCCTCGCACTGCGCTCATCTCCCAGCTCGTACTAGGCGAAGAACGCACGAGCGTAATGGGCATCCTCAATACCGTACGGACGCTTACGCAGGCTGTAGGCCCGTGGCTGTCGGGTTGGCTTAGTGAAGGAGGGAGGCTGTGGATAAGCTTTGTGGTTGCGGCGGTGCTAAAGTCGTCGTATGACTTTGGACTCCTGGCGATGTTTTGGAATGCCCGACCTAGAGAGGAGGTTGTAGTCCAGAACAATGATGATAGACATGAGCAGGACGAGGAGTCTATTTAAGGAAGAGGGTTGTATAGAGGCAAGAGAACAATGCCGATGCACTGGTCGATGATCACGTTGGTCTGAATGAGAATGACGCTATTTTAGTCGCGCGTCCCTATTGGATCGGCGCCGACCGCACCGAGGGCAAATATATATAAAGTAATCCCGAAGTGGACAATATGAACAATAATATTGTTCCCATATCCTTGTGTTTACCATAACGCTACTCAAGTCGACACTAACAACAACAACCAACATGACTGCCTCAGCCTCTGCCCGCTCCCCTCTCACCCGCGCACTCTTCGCAATCGGCCTAGAGGCACTCACGACCCTCTCACGGGACGGCCTGCTCTTGCTCCTCCAACGCATGATCCGGATGTACGCCTACGGCAGCTCCACGCTCGTTCTTGCGCTATTATTCAACTCCCTGGGGTTCTCGGACACCCAACTAGGGGCATTCATGACTCTTACATTGCTGGGCGACGTACTGGTCAGCTTGCTATTGACGCTGGTTGCGGACAAAGTTGGGAGGAGGAATATATTATTAGCGGGAGCGGGGCTGATGCTCGCAAGCGGAGTGGTATTCGCCCTTGGCAGCAGTTACATAATCCTCCTCCTCGCCGCTATAGTAGGCGTGATCACTCCCAGGTGCGTCCACCCTTCATCCCTCTGGCACCACTGACCCTCCCCAGCGGGAACGAGATCGGCCCCTTCCGCGCCATAGAAGAGTCGATCCAAGCGCAGATCACGCCTGCCAACCTCCGCACAGACATCTTCGCCATCTCTGGCATGGTCGGGTTCCTCTCTACCGCCCTGGGCCAGATCTCGATCGGCTGGGCGACGGAGCGCATGATTGGCGTCTGGGGGTGGAGCGAGCTGGACGCGTATAGGGCTGTGTTTTGGGTGTATGCGGCGTGTGCTGGTATGAAGCTTGTGTTGACTGCGGGGTTGAGCGAGGAATGTGAGGTCGAGAAGGTGTGTTTTGGTGCTTCTGCAACCTGAGGAGGAGGTTGATCGTTGAACAGAAGGAGGACTATAGGCCGCTTGCGGAGGATGAGACCATCTCTCTGCAGGAAGAAGACGACATCGACGAACCGGGCACCCCAATACTGGCAACACCGCTCCCTCCAACGCCATCAAAGCTGAAGCATCCCAAGCCCCCCCGCCTCTCCACCAGGATCATCAATCTCTTCCCCACTCTCTCCCCCGAATCCCGCTCCATCGTCTGGAAGCTCTCCCTCCTATTCGCCCTAGACAGCCTCGGGGGCGGCCTCGTTCCCAAGTCCTTTGTCGTCTACTTCTTTTACCAGAAATTCGGCCTCCCCACCTCGGCCCTAGGGACGATATTCAGCCTCACCTCGCTCGGTTCGGGCATCTCGAACCTCCTCGCTGTCGCCATCGCCAAACAGATCGGCCTGGTACGGACAATAGTGTACACCCATCTCCCAGGGGCGATGTTCCTCTCCCTCACACCTGTGAGCTCGAACCTCTACATAGCAGCAGCGTGCATCATCCTCCGCTCAACAGCAGGGTCGATGGGCCGTGCTCCGAGGACAGCGTTCACATCCCAAGTAGTGCTAAAAGAAGAACGCACAAGCGTGCTAGGGATCGTCAATGTCGTGAAGACGCTTGCGCAGGCGGCGGGCCCCTGGATCTCGGGAAGACTCAGCGAGACGGGGAATTTGTGGCTCAGCTTTGTGGTTGCTGGGGCGTTGAAGGCGACGTATGATTTTGGATTGTTGTGGGTGTTTTTGAACCAGAAGCCGAGGGAGCAGTGATGCGACAAGGCCAGGCAAGCTTTGGATGGGACTTGGGACACGCGGGAGAGGATTTTTGGATACCAATAGATTGTATTTGTTCATCGAATGTAGAATTACAATGTTTAGCAACACACCTCAAGCTCCTTCTCATAGCATTCACTCCTTTCCCTTTCCCCGAACCGTATAAGCCATCCCCCTACTCCCACTCGCCTCCGTAAACCCAAACCCGAACCTCTCATACAGCCTGCCCGCTTTCCCATCTGCGATCAGACTCACATACCCACTCTCGGGCACGGCGCTTCGATCCAGAGCATCAGCTCCCACATTATGAATTTTCCGAGTCCTAGATGTTGGTGCGCGGGGAGGAGGACGATGTCCACTATCTGGAGGAAGAGGGTGCCGTCCCCTATAATACGGCCCATGCCCACTACTCGGGGATCGGGCTGCTCCTCTATCGAGTCAGGTTCGGGAAATTCTGTGGACGTAACGTCTGTCCCTGGCATGCAGGAAGCAGCGAGGATCTGCACGCAGAAGACACTTCGGGGTAAACCGATCGCGCACGCGGAAGGGGACTTGTCGCTCAGCCCGCCAGAGCGGCACAGGTGTCTGTAAGTCGCTGTGCTGGGTATGGAGTGGGAGAGAGTGTAGACGTTGTATTTGGTAATGAGGGCGACCATTGTTGAGCAGTGAGGAGATCGGATGGGAGTGGGCTGCAACTGACTTTTTGGGCGCTGGCGAGTGTTGGTGACTGTGCCAGAAGCCTGAGACGAGTACATGAAGTGATACGAGAGAAGTCCTCGACTTCGCATCCTCTTTACCTATTTCGAAACTTCTCATATATCCTCCAGTGAATCCAGGTAGGTGTACTCGCCAGACAGCATAATATAAACAATAAATCAGACAATCGAATAAAGAGTAAACACATCATGATAATCACCTTCAATCCTCCAGGGTCCACACGACGCGTCTAAGTGGCAGTGCCAACCCTACTTCCCCCAAGTAGGGTTCCGTCCCCTCCCTCACACATTCGACGCGCATCCCCAGTGGCGCGCGTCCATTATTTTCCTCTTTCCGTATCGCTGATTGCGCGAATCAGCACACGTGACTTGGAGTGATAACAAGTTTTGGATCCGGGAGGTTTGGGGCGCGGGGGCGTATATATACCCCCTTTCCTTTCTGTGGGAAAACGCTCCACCGGCTCTCAATCCACCACCTGCTCGTGACTACACACTGTCAACCAGCCCCTCCATACTATCTACAATCCATAACTAGCAATGGCTCGTACTAAAGTACCTTCTTCCCTCCCTTACTTTCTGTGTGAAGCACCCACTCACCCCTCACCAGCAAACAGCCCGCAAGTCCACCGGTGGCAAGGCCCCCCGTAAGCAGCTCGCCACCAAGGCAGCGCGCAAGACCGCATCCAAGACCGGCCCCACCACCGGAGGCGTCAAGAAACCCCATCGGTTCCGCCCTGGTACGGTCGCGCTGCGTGAGATTAGGCGGTATCAGAAGAGCACGGAGTTGCTCATTCGCAAGCTGCCTTTCCAGCGGCTTGTCAGGTGCGTTGGCTCAGCCTTGAGCACTCAGGAGTATGAAGGCTGGCGACTCACGTTACTGGACAGGGAAATCGCACAGGACTTTAAGACGGACTTGAGGTTCCAGTCCTCTGCCGTCATGGCACTCCAGGAAGCGGCAGAAGCGTACCTCGTCTCCCTGTTCGAGGATACCAACCTTGCCGCTATCCACGCCAAGAGGGTCACAATCCAGCCCAAGGATCTCCAGCTCGCGCGGAGGTTGAGGGGCGAGAGGTCCTGAGGTGTGAGGTGTAAGCGATGAATGATGCTAGGGGAATGGTGTTGTATGATGTGATAACGATGTGACGATACATGCTTGTAACACTATGGCTCAATACACTATGGTCTATGCTACCACATACACTTTATCCTCCATTGTTTTGATACGCCCTCAGATGACGGTGTTCCAGAGTCGCTCACGTGACCTGTGCGTGATTGCTCCCGGGGTTCCGGATGTCGACGTCATGGGTTGTCTTCCGGTCTTCCTCCATATCGATGTTGGTTTATCCTTCTAACAAAGTATGTTCTACCCTCTGTCGATACATTTCCTGTTTATCTGCCTCATGTCTTCACCCAAAGAACGCTTTACCAAACAGCAAACGTCCGTCTTCTCCGGTGCACCCATGAGGGCAGAAGGACCTCAACCCTATTCCTACTAGTGTAACATGGGCGCCAGCCAGGCAGCTGTCAGTAATATTGATCGCCCCAACCGTCAGATGACCTGTGGTGTGCGGATCGATGACGAACCTTTCTTGGGGTGTGTTGGGTCTGGGATGATGTTGCGGAAAATGGATATAAGCTTCTTGCTGGGGAATCTACTTGGCTACTCTTGGATCAAATGCTAGCTAGCGGTATAATGGCGCTCTCCAGTTTCCGTCTCAGTGGAGCTCTTGCTCTCTTCGTACTAGCTGGGCACTCTCTTCTCGTATATGCACAACCTTCTGGATCAGGCAACACTCCTTCCGCTGCCCAGCCAACCTCACCGCCTCCGCCTCCGGAAGCGCCCTCACCCAATCATCCACCGCTGTCCAAAGCATACCCACCGCCGTCCCTCCCCCCCCTTCTTCCCTCTCTACCAACGCGCCCGTCCCCTCCCAGCTCCCGCTCCCCCCTGTCTAGCCCTGGTGCCCCAGCGACATCTTCTGCCCCGGCGCGCTCTTGCAAACTGTCGACCTCGCACAGCTCTACAGCGATAGCAAGACCTTCGTGGACAAGCCTACTGTCTTTTCCCCTAATACTACTCTGGCGGACTTTGCACGTATTGGAGGAGCGAACGCGACGATCGGAAACCTCGAGGCGTATGTGGAACAGGATTTTAGTGGGGAGGGACTGGAGCTCGTCCCTGTTCAATTGGAGAACTTTACATCTACCCCGGGGTTCTTACAGGGCGTCAGGACCCGCTTGTCAAAGCCTGGGTGCAGACGGTGCACGGCTACTGGGCCCAACTAATTCGGTCAGTTCGTCACCCTCCCCCTCTCCCCCATTCGCAGCACCAGCTAACAACCCCCCAAAAAAAGGAGCACAAACACCTCGGCACTGTGTGACGGCCTGCACTGCGCCTCCTCCCTCATCCCGCTCAACAACACCTTCGTCATCCCCGGCGGCCGCTTCCGGGAGCAGTACTACTGGGACAGCTTCTGGATCCTCGAGGGTCTGTTACAGAGCGAGCTGTATTATGTAGCGCGGAGCACGCTGGAGAACTTTATGGATGAGCTTGAGCGGTTTGGGTTCATCCCTAATGGGGGGAGGATATATTATCTGAACCGGAGTCAGCCGCCGTTGTTTGTTCATGTGAGTCTTCCTCCGCTGAAAGGGTATCAAAAGCTCTCGCTCAGATGAGATGACGAGCAGATGGTATACACCTACCTGCAAACTACGAACGACAGCTCGATCCTCACCCGCGCACTGCCTTTAGCGGAAGTAGAGCTCGCCTGGTGGCAAACTAACAGGAGCACCACCGTCCTTTCCCCGAACACGAACACCACGCACACGGTGTACCAATACCGGGTGACCAATAGCGCCCCACGGCCAGAGAGCTACCTCGAAGACTACCAAACTGCCAATGCCAATGCTGCTGGCTTGCAAGCTCCCTTATCCCCGGAAGAGGCAGAGGAGCTGTATGCCGAGCTTGCGAGCGGGGCAGAGACGGGCTGGGACTACAGCAGTCGATGGTGCAAACAGCCTTTTCTTGGTAATCTTAGTGAGAACGACCCTGCCCTGCGAACGCTTGATGTTAGAGGGGTGGTGCCTGTGGATCTGAATAGCATGCTCCCGAATGCGCATTGGATGCTTGCGCGGATGTACGATGCTGCTCGGCAGGAGAACGACGGGAATGTGGATGTGGATGGGAGTGGGAGTGGGAGGAAAAAGTGGGAGCATGAGAGGAAGGGAGATGACCTGAGGGAGGCGGTACTGGATTTGATGTGGGACGAAGAGAGAGTCGCCTTCTATGATTGGAACTTGACTGCTGGGGAGAGGGGGACGGTGTTCAGCAGTGCACACTATTGTGAGCCGCGCTTCCTCGACTGCTTTGGTGTGGATGTGGATGTGCACGCTGATGTGATGTGATGCAGACCCCTTCTGGAATAACATCATCCCCCCCTCCCTGCTGGGGAACGCTACCCGCCTACGTCAAGCCTTCGGCTCGCTCAACCTCATGCTAGACATGTACAACGGCTCCGTCCCAGTCACGTTCCTCAACACGGGTCTGCAATGGGACTTCCCAAACGCCACATCAATGTACGTCTTCCCCTAGCGCGTAATCAGACGAGGCGATGCGATGCTTACAGTTGCTGTGGGTAGATATCATCCTCCGCGCACTCCAGAACCTGCCTGGGAACTTAACATTCCTACCGCTGCTGACGGATTCTACCCCAGAGCTGGAAAATGCATTCGCTCTTCTCCCGGCTAACCAGACTGGCCTCTCCTCTCCCTCCCTCCTTCCTCTCCAACCAGGGACCAATATAAGCCTAAGCACTAAAGTGAACGTTAATGCTGGCCAGGGCTGGCTCGCCCTTGGCCTAGGCACGAACGGCACCTCCGGGTGGAAAGACGCCCTGATGCTCGAAGTCGCCCAGCGGTACATCGACGCCGCCTTCTGCAGCTGGTACTCCACAGGCGGTTCTATCCCCGGCTCGTTAGCCCAACTCAGCCCGCAGGACCTAAGCGTCACGGGCTCGACACCCCAAAGCACGGGAGTGATGTTCGAGAAGTTCAACGCGACGGACTTGGATGCTGCTGGTGGAGGAGGGGAGTATACCGTTCAAGCAGGACTAGGTTAACCCGACTCGCTTCGCTCAGTGTAGTTATGTGAAAGACCCTATGTATTGCCTCGGGATTTGTTTTTGGTACATTTGTTGTATCTACATACATTTCAATCATAATAGGAAATTGCAGGAGAAAGAAAAATAGAAAAGCAGGTATCTAAGAAATATTGGAAAGAACTTCGGGATATACAACATGTTGAGTGACTGTATGCATCTCTACAGTTGGTGCTTGAGGCAGTAAGAGTATTCTAATTGCAGAAGGCAATGTACAATGTGAAAGTGCAACATATAATTGGCCATGTGAGAAAACAGGAATGCATAAGTCCAAACCAACATTTGTGACTGACTGTCCTTGAGCCTTGTTGATTGTCATTGCAAATGCAAGTCAAACAGGAAACTGGCAGCACTTCAGGACCAAGCTGAGATTGTCCTCAGATGGTGTGAGTGAGAGGCATGGAATGAATGCTGTTGTACCATGATGTTCACCTCCAAGGAGTCAGACTTCTAAAACTCAATTTGTTGAATGAATGAGTTGACATCATGTCCCATTACAAAGGCCTTGTGCTGGTGCAAGATTCCACAGTAGCATAAGTGGACACCTGGGCTTGATTTCCAACTTGCTGAGGGGAAGTCCAGGCACTTTGAGTGCATTAAGATACTCAGTTGGAATTTCCATCTGTGCATCAATGCCTGGCTCCTGAACAACTGAATCTGCTGAGAGGAAGGTGATGACTTCTCCAGGATGGTGTGCAAGTACTTCTGCATTGAGATCATCAACATCTGTGTTGTGTGCAGCAAGAATTGTTCAATTGAGGAAGTAGTCATCTCCATTTGGTCCTCCAAGCTCATGGTTCTTGATGTCTCGATATAGTGATGTGATCAGGCTGTCCACTGAAGTCTTGCATTCAATTCCATCCCAAAGGTTGAGCATTCCATTGGCATGGGAGGCATGTCCACTTCCTACTTCAAGAAGCCAGCTAGCAAATGCAGCACTTGTTGGATCCTGAGCACTGAGGTGCATGTTCTGAGAAAGGCAGGATCTTGATGCTCTGCCACAGATGAGAGTGTTGCATACAGGCCACTACAATGTCTTCCCACTCCCCATGTAGCACCACAGGTAGTGTCTGTTGCCAGTCACCACCAAACACCACTGACATGCCACCAAATGGAAGGGTTGGCTGATCTCAGATGTCATGTAGACTTTGATCCACAGCCTCTATGCAGTGGTGATGCTGTGGTGTGGCTTCATCCCAAATTGTGAGTGTTGCCCCCTTCAGCATTGCTGCCAATAGCCCATTCTTTGGTATGTTACATGTTGAGGTATCATGCACCAGGATTGGTATCTTGAAGGTTGAGTGTGCTGTGTGGCCACCTGGGAGGAGCAAAGCTGCAATACCTGAGGAGGCTACACAGAGAACAATCTTTCCCTGTGAGCACAGCTCTGCACAGAGTGCCTTGTAGACAAATGTCTTCCCTGTCCCCCCAGGGCCTTGAAGCCAGAAGGTCTGTCCATCACCTGCATGTTGGGTGATCTCTTCAAAAGTGGCACTCTGTTCTGCATTCATCTGGTCCTTCATTGTCACTGCCATTTCTGCCATCTCCACTTGATCATAGTCCAGTTGTTCTGCAATGAGACAATTTTGATGAGGTGCAAGACACTGCTCCCAGTCTGTTTAGAAAGGAGGAAACTTGCCATTGTACTTTTCATCGGTTAAGCTGGAGCCTTGCATGCAGAGTAACTGATCAATAAGGAAGAGGCCATAGTCAAGCACATCACCCTGTGTTGTATTGGGGAAGTGGCATTGCAGACAATGATGAAGATCATCACAGAGATGGGCCTTGAAGCACTCCCACAGTAGTCCAGGTGAAGCAGGATGACAATGCTGAAGCATTGTGACAAAGAGAAGTTGTAGCTGTACTCCTGTTTTCATATTGCATGCTTCCTCCAAGCATTCAAGCCATTCCTGATCATCTTCCAGTAGCCCTAAAGCATTGCATGCTGCCTTGAATGTTGGGTACAGAACCCCTTGCACAGTCCTAAGGTCTTCAAAGGATATTGGGCCATGCTTGTGTGTGAGGAGTGTGTGGAGATAAAAGTGCTTGCCAGCAGTTGGTTGGACAAAGTACATTCGACCAATTGCATATTGTGCTTGCCAGAAGGCTCAGCACTTCTCCTTTAACTTCCATACATAGTGTGTTGGAAACTCTTGATATGTGAGAACTCACTGCTCTGGTAGCAAAGATGCATTCATGGCAAAAAACTCTGTGAGCTTTATCTTGAACTTCATCATTATCATTGAAGTAGACCATGTGTTCTCCTGGCAGATGTACTGGAAGGCAATAGACTGAAGGCTTCTCATCATGCATTCTGAAAGCATGGAGGCACCAGACAGCTTCAACAGGGCCAATATATCTTGCATTGATATAACTCTTGACTTCATTTGTGACTTCTAGTGTTGTTTGATCCTGCCCCTTGTAGACATACTTGTGGATATACTTCACAGCACCAACTGTAAAGCAGAATTCAGCATTGCAGTGTGCCTGAACACACTTCAGAAGGTTCCTAGAAAGCTGCTTAGTTCTGGGTTCAACAGAGAAGTTATGCTGATAACTTACTTTGGGTATGGCACAACCCAATGGTTGTCCAGTTGTACACCATGCTTGACAACATGGCGCCCATTATCAGGCCTCTTGAGTTGAACATAAGCATTTGCATCCATGTGTGTTTCAGGAGAAAAGACTTGGGGAAGCCCTTGCTGCATCAACCATCCTTCATGCATGGTGCATTTGGGAACTCAACTCCACATGGACCATGCATCATTTGTGTTGTCACCAAGCTGTAGAGCTCTGGGTCTTCTTCTTGCGATGGAATCTCTGCAGAAATGTGCAGATCAACCTCTTGAGGTGTGCATGGCTTTGAGGCTTGAGCAAGGAAAATCAACAGATGCATGTGCAGTAGGCCATGTTTCTGGTACTCAATTGTGTACACTTGTGCAACTGCTTTTCCAAAGATATTGCCTTTGTAGATCAATTCCAGCACCTCATTTGGCTTCAGATGGAAGACTTGGGCCACTAAGCCAGGTCAGTCTTGAGC